GACTTTCTGGATTAATTAAATTTATTAAACATTTAATTTCCGTCGCTTATCAATTTTCTTGACGTCATTTGGATTATAAGAAGTATTGGGATTATATCGATCGGATCTGGTTACTATTACATGCATGAGGGTTCGAACAGTGGGTTTTCAGATCGCTATAAGATCGGATCGTGAATGCGCAATTAGCTGCTGAGAATTATGTATGTAAATATTTATATTCGTAATGGAGACAAAACACATGTTACACATTTCAATTGGCACTGGTGTGTGTACAACACACACAAACAGAGGCGAAGATGCGTATAGAACTAGAGAGAGAGAAGAGGTTTTGAACTGAACCGAGTTGCCATTTCATATATTTTTTTCCTACTCCTCGGGCTGATGCTTATTTTTCTCTCTCAACAACACAGACACATACAAAAAAAATAGAATTATCATTAGTGTTGCGGCCTCGGCTCTAGAATAAACAATTTATTAGCTCTCAAAGTCGACGCTGACGCGTTTTGCTTAAGTAATTATCCTTTGGGCGAATCTCATCATCATCATTATCAAGATCAGCATCATATGACGATGCCCGACTTTAGTTGGCATCGGCGAGACACATTGTCTCGTTCGTTCGTCGTTCCTCGATATAAATAAGGAACAATCGGTCATTTTTATTTCGCAAGCCAAGAAGTGAAAGGCCAAGCAGCAACAACAACGTCAACAATGCTCTTCGGATCTTGAGAGCGCGCGGTGGTAGCCTTTTCAAGAGAAGAAGAAAAAAAATATATTTCTACAACAGAGAGAACACATTAATGATTGCGCTTAGTAGGTTAGAGGAATCTGGTCTTCGCACCTGCAAGTGCGAAAGCTAACTGTAGCTGCCCGACTCGACGGAAACCAACAAAAAAAAACAACACAAATAAAAAGAAGCAACTCGAGTGAAGAACCGTAATGGCTAGTTACCTCTAATTACCTTTGCGTACGAAAACATAGTTTTCGACATATCACTAAATTACAATTAAGCAAAGCGATTGCCAGTAATTGCATCTAAATGGGAACAATCGTTTGTTTCCAATCAAATGCAATCGGATTTGCTCCATCTTCTCTTTACAGTGTGCAATGCAGCAGGGTGGTCGTTTCTTTTATAATTTTTTTTGAAGCTACTGCCATAACAGCAAAAGAGATATATGTCTCGCTGGGCGAAAATTTTTATTTATGAGAGGTTGGTCGAGTTTGCTCTCCGGCATTTTAAACTGCTCGGTTGACGAGTGTTGGTTGCTCCGAAACAAAAATAAAACGGTTTCTTCGGTGGTAAACCCGCACAGACGAAGATGAAAATACAGCGAGAAGAGGAGAGAAAAAAAGAAGGGAAAAGCAAATTGCATGAGTACTGCCCACTAGCATAACCAAATTAGGCGTAATTAACAGCTTCACCTTAAGAGCTCCTTTAAAACGTTTCACTTAAATCATTAAAATTGTTTGGATTAAAAACAGACGGCTGGAAAGCCATAGAAAGGCACAAAGTCTTATAGGTGCTCTTGTATATGTTCGCTCTTTTTTAAGGATTACCAGTAATTCAACCCATGGCGTGCACGAGTTTTTTTTTTGTTTTGTTTTCGTTACAAACTCGCACAAAAATTTGCTTAATTAACGCAATCTAATTATCTTAATAAGTTTGTTTGTAATCGTGGATGTGAGAAATATGAACCGGTAGGAAATTGCACATTTCTGAAAATGACATTAGCCGTGTGCCACTTATATAATTATACTAATAGAGAAGGAGCCAAACCTAAAATGCATCGATAAAACATCGTGTTTAGAAGTCCAAAGGCCTTGATTTATTGATCATACCGTAATTTTCGTTTTTTTTTAATTTTCAAATAATGTTAATGTTTCCAAACTGCTTTTCTCTTTATCCTCGCATTTTCAGTTAGCGGCTATAACGAGCCCTGGTTAGGAAACGTAATTACTTGGAATTAGTTTCGAACATTCTAACACTCGTTAGAATACATTTGAACGTAATCGAATTAGGTTTTTTTTGTAATGAACCAATTCCCTTAACTATACGCTATAATTTACAAAGTACATAATTTGCATATATTCTAAATGCCTTTACAACGTCTTAACGTTTGTGATAAACCAATTTGTAAATTCTTTAGAAGAAACCAATTAATTTAACAATATGTTATTATTGTCACATCATCTGAAAGAAAGAGCTTCAACTATTAATTTTGTCATTATGGGACAAGTTTCTAAATTATAAATTGTACATCTCTAAAAAATGTATATAATTATAATAATCTACTACATAAGTGTAAAAATAAATAAAATGAGCTATTGAATAAATAATGAAGTATTTAACATTAATTCTATGAATATTTTCAAACGAGTAAATAATTTTTAAATGAAAAAAAAATCATATGCTTTTTTACATCATAACATAAATTGTGTTTATGTACAATTACAATAATGAAAGTTATATACTGACATTTTTATGGTTGATAATTTTTATAAGGATAAATCCATTTAAATATAAATACGTATGTATTTTTTTTAAATTTATTTATTATTATTTTTTTGTAATGGGAAATAAATGGGCGATAAATCACGACGCTTTTGAAGCGGTGAATTATGATACCAACTTTTATATTGAATTTCACCATTTGAAAGTATCTTCGAGAAAGAAGAAGAAAAAAATGCATGATTTCCTTCCTGCGTGCGAGTGTTAATTTATTACGTACTCAATTAAAAAGAAAGAGCAGCGCATAAGAATTTATTATTTCAATAAGTGTACTAAGCGAATACATGATTATTTTATATTCTTTGTAATTACTAAGACATTTTATATTATAATTGGTAGATATAAACATTTGTAATTGCGTATTTTCACATTTTTTTTGTAGAAGCGAAAATTTATTGAAATTCAACATTCTAGTCTTGATTATTGTAATTATAAAATTTCTAAGTTACGTATTTGTAATGTAGTATATAATGCTTAAAAATGATCTAAATGTGAAAAAATAAGTCATTTTTTTAAATAAAGTTTTGTCTTTAAATGTTTACAGTTTCCTCAACTTAATTGTTAAAAATGTAACTTTTCTAGGTATAATTTTAGATTTTTAACATTATTGCGTGATCATTGTGAACGTGTTTTCGTTTCCTTAGATACGTCATTTCTATGTTAAATCAAGGTAATAATTTATTGTTCATAGTGAATAGATTGTAAATAATATTAAGACGATACAAGAAAAAGTAATCAAGGTTTTTTTGTAAATGCTTTGTTTTATAGAACAGATTTGCATAGGATGAAAGAATTGAAGTTTTATTGATAGATGTTTCTATTATTTTCTCCTTCATTTTATTTCCTTGAAGATTATCCAGTATTTTTTTTAATAAAATAATAATATTTATTGCAACAATACAAAAACAAGAAAATTTAACATTTCCATATATTCCAAAAGAATATAATAATTATTGTAATAACTTTTTTGATGGCACCAAAATCACTAAATTTTATGAATACTAAAGGAAATAACTTTGAATGAATTTGATGTATTATAACTGTGATTGTTTTTCCATCATTCATTAACAAATATGTTTAATAATGAGTATATAATTTATTGCGTTTTACGTTTTCGGAGGATGCGTGAGAGTGGAAATTATTCCTCTTCGCATCCGGTCAAATATAATAAATATCCTAGCCTATCCTCTTACCGCAATTGCATTAAATCAATCAAGACTCCAAAGTGTAATTACTGCCTTTTCGAATGCGCTTATTACCTATCCTCGTGTTCATTAAAATTTGTTAAATCATCGGTTATTCAAGTGGTACACAGTTTCACTTGTTCATAAGTATAAATTGTATATTTTTATCCGTTTAATTTTTGTAAATATTTGCTTAATTTATCTTAGTTTTATATAGAGCAACAATTGGAACTTGTACAGAAAGTTGCTGTATTTTTGCTGCTGCTTCTTTGTAATTGCTCTTCGTGCGAATACATTCGTTGCTGCATAGAAAGTTAATGACATGCACAAATAAATTCACCAGCCTTTCCGTTAGACCTACTTCAAGCTCTTTACCGACGACCCTGCCATTAGAAATAGTGTAAAAGTAAAGAAATTTAATTAAAAAATGTTTTTTTTGTAATTATTTTATGTATTGAAGTTACTTTTTTTATTTGTTTATGTATAAATTTAATAAAAAATTGATTGAACTAAATATCAAAAAAAAAAGATTCAATGGAAATAAATACAATCAATTAACTTAAAACTTTTTTTTGCATATTTATACTCAATTTTAATAATATTAAGTTGTTAAAATGAAAGAAATTTTTAAAATTCTATTGAATTAAATGCAAGTAAAAAAATAAGTGGAAATGAATATTTTTTGTTTTGTTTTATAATTTGTTTATAATCAATTTTAACTTTATTAAATTCAGTTTTTGTACTAAAATGAAATAAAGATGAACTGCAAAAAATAAAATTAGTTGTAATTGACTACTATTGAAATATGAGAAACAAAGCTCTCAAGACAAATACAAATAATAAAAGAAACTGTTAATCGATTCTATTGTAACCTTGCAATTAGCGTAATCGATCCGAATCAATCGAACATTAAATCGTGATTTTTCCGAAACAATAGTGCATTGCACAATGCGACAATTACATATTTTTTTCTCTCTCTTTCCAATTACGATTGCTGTCGTTCTGCGATTGTGTCTGCATCTACGCGCGAGTTGTCGTCGTGCAATGAGAAATTGCGAGCAGCAGACGATTTTAATATACGAAATGTGCATACACGCATATACGTACATAATAAAACGGGGAATTTAATTGCGATGTTTATGTTTCATTTCGCTGCGAGCAAATTGGATTTCGCCTAAGTGCGTATAAATTGCCGTTTATTTATGTCTGTATTAAGAGGGACTTTCATATTTGTAAAATGCTTTTTCCACTTTATTATTATTTATGACAATTTTTTTTATATATGTTTTTTTTTATTTGTTTGTTCGCAGGAAACATTCCAGAGAGCACCGGAAGCGCAGGCCGAGCACAGGTTTCCGGTAAGTTGACTGGACGTTAATTAGAAAAAATAAAGCTAATTGTTATGTGCACGCCGATTTCGAGGTTACGCGCTGCGTGAATCACGTATTTTTTTGGGGATTGTATAGTGATTTGCAGGTGATCAAGATGTAAAAGGATATGTTTTGATATAAGAATTGTTAAATACTCTTCTTTGTTTGTTATAAGTGGAATAATTGATTGAATTGGATACAAGTTTGTTGTTGTATTGAATATTTTGACTTCAATTGATCAATATGATGACAACAATTTCGAATGATCATGAAATGTTGTGACAACTCGCAATTTCTTACAAATTTATTTTGCTACAATTTTGATTTGTTTCCGTATAGTTTATTATTTTGACTTGAAATCATGTCTTCTGAGTTTGAATTCAATTATGTATTGGAATTGTATTTTTTTGGTATTAAATTCATGATTGTCGTTTCGGTTGGGTTTCACCTGGACTCCGGTAAATATTATATAATTCGCTGACATTTCGAAGTAGAAATCGGAAATGCGGTTGTGGGTCTCGAGCGAGTATTTCATTGCAGGTTCTCCATAAATCATTCGTAACGATCCGACTGGCATAGATCCACGAAGATATCGACGACAAATTAATGCTAATGACCGAAGCGGAGCCCCGAAAACGTCCTGGCAATAGGAATAAACTGAAGAATAAAAAAAGAAAACGAAACCTAATAGGAAATAGGATATTCTATTCAATTAGTATAGCTTATGCGTACGGAGTTTCGTTTCGTAACTGGTTTTTTTACCTATATTATATTCGTATTGGTGTATTTGTTGCCTGCCTTTTAATTTAGAAAATCTACAACGTACGGTTGTTCTGGTCATTGTTGCAGCTAAATATCACCAGGAAGTGTTTTTAAGACCATTTGTATCGCGCCGGACCAGTTTTGGTAATGCCTAAGGTCTCAGGGATGATTCGCTTCGAATATATTTTTTCTTATTCTCCAATAGTGATTTGCATGAGGAAATTAATTTGACGTGCGAAATCTGTCCAGGAAACGTGTCTGGATTAAGCAGATATTATCTAAATTGGTCGGATTATAGAAGCGGCCAAGTGATTTATCGAGATACGATCAAGTTTTTTTTTTGTATATATTCGTTCTCTTCTTTGTTTTAAGTCTCTTGATTCAATTTGATGGTAGATTTTTTATTTGTATATTCCTGCCAACGGATTATGAATCGGCAATTAGTTACTCAAAAAGAGTGCACAATTTCAATTAACGCGTGCAGAGTGCGTGAAGAATTCATATTTTTTTTCTTTATCCTCATCTTTTCATTCGTTGTTGCTGTTGCAGTTGTTGTTCTTCCCTTCGGTTGTCCTTCTTTTATATACTGTTGCCTTCGCTGTGCTTCAGACTGAGCGCAGCACAAGAACGGCAGTTGTTCTTGGGTAGACTGAGCGAGCGAAGAAGGATAGTAGTTCTCATCGAGATACATATCTCGTTTTTGTGGTCGAGCTGTAACAATTATCTCGTTCCAATCGCGGCCTTCGTCCTTCGGGGGCCGCCGCCGTCGACCTTCACCCTGTCAGGGAGGCTGGAAATCCGCTGGAAACAATTAAAATTAATGCGAGGATTCGATCGCCTGGGCACGTAGGATAATTAAAATGCTCCGAAAACAAGACCAGCAAGAAAAGGGTGGACTTTTCATTCTGTTTTTTGTATTGCTGATTTTCCTAGTAAATAAAAAACAACGTACACGCAGCTGGCGAAGATGGGGATGGGCTTAGAAGGAAGGGATGCACTTTGATGTTAATGCGCGTTTTACGTAGTAGTTGCTGTTCGTTTCGAAACGAGCACGAGATGGCAACAACGACAAATGTTGCCTTTATGGGAAAAATCCTGGCCGTGCGAGAAATTAATAATGTCGTTTTGTATCGAAATTTGCGCAACAAACTCACTGACACACATTCTGACCAGAGAAACCAATCGCAGATACTAATTTCATTTACTTATTATTACGTTTTCTTGACATTCTATACCTCTCTTACATATATTCATACGCCTCGGAATTTATGTATCAACGCTCTTTCTCTTCAATTACGAACGAGCCGTTTGCTATTCCTTTTTCGATCATGATCCAATCCTGTGCAGTTATTTCAATCAAACACATGCAAAACTAAACCATTCGAAGAATTTATAACTTTTGTAAAACACCTTGTATCTTATACTAGACAACTTACAAAAAGTTAAGCAACTTTTGGTGATAATATACTTTAGTATACCGGATACCATTTCTTACAAAAATATCTGTTCTTATTATATTTATAATTAGGAAGAAAAACTAAGATTATTTTGCTTTTCTCTTATATTTAATATGTTTCAACTTATAGCAAAGTTAAGTGTTTTAGATACTTTATAATAATGATTACAATAACATACTTAACTAATAAAATAATATTGAAGATTAATGGAAGAATCTCTTTTAACAAATATTATTACTATAGTTTTACATCGTACAAAAAATGTTTCATCTTGCATTGTATATTCAATAACTAGCAAAAAGTTAAGCAAGATGTGGTGATAATTAAATATAAAATAAGTCGATTTGTTAAAAGTCTTTAACAACACAAATATTGATTTTACTTGAAGAGCAAAATAACTGAAGAAATACGGTTAAAATAATATTTTTCTATATGGTATAAAGTTTCTTTATTTATTTTTTGATCGCTTAATTTGACCGTGATCTAAAATGAAATATGTCTTAATAGAAAAAGAAAAAACGAAAAGTGTTACAGGAAGTAACGTGTTTATTTTGTATCGTTTTTTTTTAACGGGGAATATTGGATTATTGCCTAGTTATGCAATTAGGTCTGGCGGAAGTGTGTCCGTTACGTAATTTGTTTATTTTAATATATATTTTTTTCGTTCCTGTCGATGTTCTAGCATCATTTTGGAAGTCATTTAATTATTTACATTTATTGAGAAAATATACAGGAAAACCATTTAGTTTGGTCATATTAAATTAATTTATTAAGATTTTATGTATTAATAATATTGATATTTATGTCGTAATAACTGTATTTATTAGATTTTCCTGTAAATTTTTGAAAGTACATAAGAATTATTACTCTTGCAAATCGTTCCAAGGTTAAAGGTGTCTATTATAAATTATATTGTTTTCATGAAATATTACAAAATATTATTTATATTTCAATGAGTTTTATAATATTGGTAATTTATGAAGTTTTATTAATAAAAATATTATTTATTATTGATAATAACAACGTAATTTCTTACAATTTATATAAGTAGAAACAGAAAACTAAAATATTAATTTTTGTATTATAAATGATCAATTTTCTCAAGTAAAGTCTTCAATTAGACCGGTTTCAAAAATCTTCTGCGAGGTTTTTCACAAAATCTTCTCATTACTTATATGACTATAACAAGTTATTTATACTCAGTTAACATTTGTATAGCTACTCCAGTTTCAAACAGTGCGGGATCTTAACAGAACCGCACTATGCTAAATATTATAATAGGAATTACATTTTAATTAAAGTATACTAAAAAAATTCAGATTGGTTGAACCGTACTATGCGAGGTTTTTCTGAAAATCTTCTGACTACTTATACTTACCAAGTAATTTATACTACCTAAGTTAACGCTTGTACTGCTACTCCAGTTTCAAACAGTCCGGGATATTGACGGAACCGCACTATGCTAAAATAGTATAATAGGAATTACATTTGCGACAATACGTGATTTATGTGAAGGAATATAATTTCTACTGTTTATCCAATTTTTATCTTCTATTTTTTTGTTATTAATATCGTGTAAATTATTATTTATAAAATTAACGTTATTATATAACAATTTACGTTTTTAAAGAAATCGGTAAGAAAAAAAGTAGTTTTTTTTTTGTGAAGTTGTAGGCGCGTGAATGGTTATGAATTGTGCATAGAGTAGAGAGAGATTGAGAAGAAGGATAAAGCTAGAGTGATAGAGAATGTGTGAGTGAGAGAGAGAAATGAGGTAAAGGTAGGCGACATGAGTTTCCGTGCAGACTGTGTGGCGACATTGCCTGCCGTCCCGCCTCTATAGTATTATTATAATTTAAATTTGTATTATGACATTTTAAGGTTGTCTGAACGGGATTATTTATCGGAAACGAAATTTATCGATTTCGCCTCGAAATCGACGAGACCGATTTTCTTTGGAAATGATCCCCGGACCCGAACCAAGACCGGATTGGACCCGATCCGTCGATGATTGTTACCTCTCATTATCATTATTCTCGTTATTATTATTATTAATAATAACAACAACAACAACAAGAATAATGTTCTTTCACTCTCTCTCGCTTTTGCACATGGAAAAACACTATTTAACTGCATACATTGCGAGTGTTCTTGTAAGCTCACCCAATTTACATAAATTATGTGGCACGTCTCTCGTTTCTCCTCCACGCATATTTCACACCTTAAGGTCCCACCATGTCTCGCCAGAACCAATTAAAATTATTAAAATAATAAAGAGAGAATAAAGAGGCGAGGAAAACCCGACGGAGAACGAGAGGATAATGCACCACCACGCTTTACCAATAGCATTTACCTACCTTCGTTCGTCGAAGCCTTCTCCAGCAAAGCATGCGATATGAATCGATTATTTATAGCCTGCACACGATTACGAATGGATTCATTCCAATAGCTTTTCTTTGTTTACTTCATTACCATAACATAATTACACTTTCCGAATACTCTTCTTTTTTTTTCCTTCTTTTAAAACTGCTCAACTATTCTAAATTCCATTACCCGTATTTCATTTCATTAACCAACTGATGACTCATCTCGTGCTTCTTTGGATTCACTACTCTATGAACAACAAGGTCCCAAAGTTGAAGTGAAATACTCGCAAAGGCGACTAATCAATTATTAATTGCTTGTAACTCCTTAACTTGTGATCATCGCTCTAATTTATTTATGATGTTCTGCTTAGCGAAACAGGAAGACCTTATATAATAAGTAATAAACATTCCTTTCGTCGAACGCGAACAACAAACATTGGTTTACATCGAAGAAATATATATAATACAATATCGTGTTCCAAGTAAAATTAACACAAGCGGTATCTAGAGTAAATATATATATACAAGAGTAGCGTGCGGTTAAATAGTATAAAGGTTCTTAGGCTATCTAATCAGAAATTAATAATAATGTGTTCGTTTGATGCGGTACGCTATCGGATAAGAGGATTCTTCGCGGTGATGAACAAACCGCGACTTTTGAATGTTATGCTTCTCGAGAAGCGAATTATGTCATTTCCATTACTCACCGCTAAATTATAGTTTTCACATATAATTATCTAAATAATTATAATTTAAACTGCGTGTTTCTATTATGTAATGAGAAGATTCAAATCTTTCAACTAAGAAACATTAAAACGCAGTATTTTTAGGACAACGATTTTTTCTTTGTATTTAACTGTGTGTAAATAAACGAAAATTCAATGACCATTGATGCTGATGGATGGAAATACCGGAGCGAAAATAAATCAATTTCAGTTTACGCATTACCATTCATGTGAGATGTCTGTATTATTTTTGACTCAATTAAATATCGTCGGATGGATCGTTTTGGTCGGTTGCTGCGTGCATGCATGTGTTAAAATGAGATTTTTCAGGATGAGTCAGTGGTGGCAATCAACACGGCCATATGCGTATTGTATGAAGCGGAGTTTGTAGTATAGGTTTTAGTTCAAGTGTGCGATGCATTCATGTAACAGAACGCATCTAGGAATGATAAAAAATATATGTGTATGTGTGTCTGTATAAAAAAAGCGTGTAAATAAATGCATTCACATCGATTTAATACGCAGTAGAAAATCTAATATTCATACTGAACCGAGTCGTAAATATGTCAGGATTAATGTTGAGAAGAGAGAAAGGAATTTTAGAATCGATTCGTGTTTTATCGATATTTCCTTAGAAATTAAATGCGCTGTCAAATTTGAACGTGTGGTATTGCGTTGTTTTATACAATTACAATATCTTAATTAGAATTTTTTGTATTTAAATATTGTTTTTTTTTTCTATTTTCATATTTTTCAAGAATTATATTTGAATTTGACAAATATAATTCGCACATCTAGTGCATTTTACAGTGATATTTCGCATGAAAAGAGACTTGTGTGTCTGTATAAAGGCAGAAAACATTGTGAATTTGGATTAAATGAAGCCGAATTTGTAGTTTTTCTAATAATCTACCAATTAATTTTTTTTCACTTTGTTTTTAATCAGTACACATTTCTTAGATTTTTGACAATTCCATGCCATTTCTTTTGTTATACAAATCTATAAATAATGTTAATTTTCATAAAATAGATTTAACGACAACATTCAAAGAGATTTAAATAAAAACAATTTCGAACATAAAATTTTATTGAATTCAATTTATAGATATATTAGCCAAATTACTTGAAAACTTCTATTCTTTTTTTCAGTAGGCAATAATTTAGTAATAATAAAGATTTAACGATTTTTCATTTTTTTGAAATCTTTTAATCTAAACATAAGATTTATAAATTTTAAAGATTGATCAGATCCTTAAAACAATTGTTCATGATTTTAATTATTATATTGTGATTTTTTTTCTATTGTTACCACATTTTTTAAGTCCTAGAATATCATAAAATACTAGAAACTAGGTTTATGTGATTGTTAAATAGAAAACTATATATAATATTTTAATGATTTGAGTCGAAACTTTAAGATTTTACAAAGTAATTTGCAACAGATTACATTTTCCTGTAATCCTGTAATCTTGTTTTTATTGGCTTGTCGCTCTTTCCGATCCACTTCTTTTATGTTTAAATTTAAAATTGGCTTCGCGTTCGCAAAATTCCGATCTTATAATAATCGCAGTAACAACAACTTAACGCGATTGGCCATCGACCAAAGTCCGTCAACAATACGGTCCGATCGGATTAACGGATTTTATATTTAACGACTTTTTCCCGAAATACACTTCAGCCCAAGTAAATGGTGGTTCTGGTTCCTGGGTGAAAACACAGAAGAATAGAGGATTCAGTAAAGGTTTTCTTTCTCTTTTCGAAATGATAAATCAAGTTTTGTTTTTGTTGATGTTTGAACTAATTCAGACTGGCTATTCTTAGCATATGTGTTTACTTTAGTTCTTTGCCAATAAGCCACTAATTAACGATTAAATATTTTTGGAACATCAAGACAAAAGGTTTAGAGATGTTAATATTTTTTTTTAAGTTGAACATCTTGAAGTACGTTAAACAATTTCTTGGATTTGGATTGCTACTATTGGAATTGAGTTGCACTATTCTTTCATAAATATTGCGCGTTAGTATTCAATGATTGAGCGCCGTCTAAAATTATCCATTTCGCAATTGAATTTCGATTAATTGACTTATGACTAACGCCTCCAGAGAACTAGTCCGAAAAACACGAGTATTTATAAGTTTTGTTGAAACTTCCCGCCGGTCAATAAATGCGTGGACCGATTTATTGCCGATTTCTATCGTTTCAATCGATCACTCCGTTATTATGATTACCATTATTACACACGCCGTTTCCTTCTAGTCGTCGTCGCTGTTGTTATTGACCAATCAAGTTACAAATAGGGCGTTTTCACCGCAAATTCAATATATACCCAAAGAGCTCCATCCCCACCTTTTTTGGGCAATACACCAGAGGACATACATTATCTGCGGCAAATTGAATTCACGCACGTCGTATCTATTGCACGTATTCCCTTTCAATTTCGTTTCTTTTTTATATCTTACTCCCTGCATAATTCATACGAAGAGGTATGCGCTTTCGATCTGATCCGAAACGGCGAAAACTTGGAGGAACACCACGAGTCTGGGAAAACAAAAACGTATTCGAAGAGGTGAATGTTTAATTAACTGTGCATTTAAGATTATTATTGATCGATTGGCGAGGCAAAATTAGAAAGTATTTGCGAGCAAATAGTGTGTTGGGAAACCGAACCTCTGGGTTGTTCTGCTCGAGGAGGATTCCATTCCGATGGCAGAGCCCCGAATAACTTCATCGGGAATGGCAAAATCTCTTTTGTTCTTTGCTTCTTGCATTCCAATCTCTTCTGTTAAGCAGACATTAATTCAGCCTCGCGAATTGCATAAAATCGAGGTAATGAGGATGTTGTTTGGGGGGGCAGAATTGGATGGAATTCGCCATCTCAAGACTGCAGCAGCAGCGAAAGAATAAAAATAACACTTTACGCCAATTTATCTTTGTTAACTGTATTTGAATCCATCAATTTGCTGAGAGCACTGCAGCTCTCCTTTTGGCAGCCCATAAATCATTGTGTTACATTTAACGAACTACTGACGACAATCATACAACGTGTATTACGTTCACTAGGACAAATTTTTACTATTAGATATTTGTATTAGAGCTATTGTTTCCCTACTTCATCTTATGCTCCTTGACATTCGACATCGACCATGTGTTTCTAATTAGCATGAGGAAAATATTATTTTTTTTTTATAATTTCAAAGTTCATGGTTAATTTGGGCTTAAGTACACGCATATATCATTTTTTTATTGCATTAGCATAATCATATTTTAAATTTCAAGTCATAACAATTTCGAAAACAATACTAAAATAGTAATAAAAAGATATGTTTTTTTTTTAAGTTTTGAGTGTTTGTTTTTCTTTTGGGAATGTTAATTTTAATTTTGTAATTGATTATGATGAAGCTTAAAGTTCGATACATGAATCGTATAGATGTTAATAGTATATATAAAATGTAAAAGAAATAAACACTTGAGTTATTATAGTAATTCCGTTGCAATAAAAATATTTTCGCCGCCGTTTTAAAAGTACATTTTTCTTTCCATTCCCGAATGATTTATGTTCCTTCGAGCACTAAATATTTCAACGAAATATGAAAGTCTGCCAAAGCGCCAAGAAGTGAGCAGCAACAGAAGAGGAAGGAGACAAAAAAAAAGAAAAGCAAACATAAATAAACCGAATGTATCGAACCAGTTTATAAATGACACCGAGATTGATACCAAATATTTATGCGATTCATCTCAATTTATTTATATTTAGGTGAATCATAAAATGCGCGAGATAACTTCTCCACTACTGATTTATCGCATGAGCCGAAGCCTCGTTTTCTTCTGATTTTAGTGGTTGATTGCGCGTCTCTGGAATGCGTTTATCTAATGGGTAACAATCATTTACTTTATTTACGTTGGTAAACATATGTGAGTATAAGAGAGAGTCGGAAGAATGAGAAAAAAGAATTCCGTGTAAACCGTTTCATCTTCACGTCTCGTGTTTGTATCGGAATCTTATCAGGCATTGATAAAATCCGGCCACGGTTTGTTTCCACGTCAGATTCGTATTCATTCACCGTGTGAAAATTCCGTGGAATAACGATTTTCATATGCTAAACCTTTGGTCATCTAACGATGAGATGATTTGGAGATGGACGATTGTGACTATGCTGTGGTCAGGAAGACCAATAATAACGATGAGGTATTATTCTCAGTGAGAGACACTCAGTGTACGCGCGAGAGAGGAATGCTTGGAGGAAATCGTAATTGTCTTGTGCTTTATGTGTGTGTTAATATGATTTACTACATCTGACCGTGTCACAATTGAGTTATTTTCCTTTAATTGGCGGATCATTTGCTTGTTAGCCTGCTACCTACATGAGAGGACTTAATCACATGAATAAATATATGTTTCTGTTCTTGTTGCAGGCTCGAGCGTCCGGGGTAGTGGAAGTCCCGTTGGGGAGTCGTGGTCCAAGGAGCTTGTATCTTCGTAGGAATGGGGATACTTTTGGTTTCACGCTGCGACACTTCATCATCTACCCACCGGAATCCCTCACAGTAAGTTTATCCTCGCATACATATCCACATGCTTTATCCAACTGCGACTTTCCTGTCTCCGATAATTCAAAACCTATATAACCCGTTCATCTTTTTACACACCTGCACCCTAATCTCACGGCTCAAAGCTTCATAATTTTACTCACCTGTTCATAAAAAAATAATCTCTCAATTCCAACCATTCTCATTTCAGTTTATTATCATCACAATTAGTACATTGTACAGTATATATGCATAATATCGAAAGACTTGATTTGTAGACGAATCTAGTAGATGCGTGCCAAACAGTTTGTTTTGTTTCTTGGCAGATTATGGTTTCTATTCTCGATATTATTTGCCTGGGCAAAATGCAATCATCTCTCACAATATTCAATATGGGTTGTTTTTTTTTGAGGTTTTGGCCTTGTCCTGCGATTTGGACTCACGCGCGCGCTAAAGAACTCGTCCTTGACCAGCTTTTTATTTATTTGCCCAACGTTCACGGTACAATAATTGTATATTTAGTGCGAAACTAAAGAATGCTACAAGATACGTTTACGATAATCATATTTTTTTTGCGTAATGAAATTTTCATTCACTTAATTTAGAGCGCGCAACATAAATCAATAAGAACAAAAATATTTGCTCAACTCGATTCGACACTTTTATTGGATGCTATTAATCTTCTAATAGATTATAATCCTTTAAATGCAAACTCCAGCCGAGACAGTGAAATATTCTAGTAAGAAAATTACACCTCAAACTATTTGAAATTTAAATGTATGAATTGGAGTTCTTCCAAAGTTTGAGCGCGATTTTTAAAATGCCTATTATTAGTAGGATGCTAATTTGGTTGCATATATTAGACAATTATCTTTTCTTTTCCATTGATTTTAATGTTCTTTAGTAGTTTTATTTTATTTACTATTATAATGATTATTATTCTAAAGTAATTTAATTCTTAGCGTATATATAAAAAATCACTTAAATTAATTATCTAATGGAAATAATTGATTGTATATATAATTATAATGAAAACAGTTTTATTACAATTTGAAATATATATTTTGCAGTGAAAAATGCAAATAATTGCAAGTAATTGAAATAAGTACTGAAGTTTAAGTTGATGAAAGTGTATAGTTAAAGGCTATCAAATCAATATCTTTCGAATTGGCTGTGTACATTCTATTATATACCCAATAATTTACCAAACTTAATTGCAGAAGTAGTCAAAATACCAGATAGTAAGGTAAAATGTTATTGCAAATAAATGGAAATAAGTACTAAAGTTTAAGTTGTTGAAAGTATTTGCCAGTTTCGTCGAAGGCTTTCAAACGCATACCCTTCGAATTGGCTGTGAACATTCTAATACATGCCCATTAATTTTCCAACTTAATTGCAGCCGCCCATATTTTTTTTCGTTGTTCCTAACTCCATGCAGAGTGGATAGAGCTGTAATACGTTCGGTTTCCCAACATGTTTATGTCAGTTTAGGTTAATGCTGCCTATTCATAATAAACACATACATATAGAGAGCATTGTGCTACCTCTATTTGTATTTTTTTCTTGTACGTTCCTTCCTTCCTTCTTCTACAGCAAGCAGTGAGGTGTTTGGTTTGGTCGTGAGGCTGTAATAAAATCAATTGATCTATAACGCTTTCGTGTTCAGGTGCAGTTTGTTGGGGCCGGTTACGAAACCGCGAAAGAACCGCGGCCCGTGGGGGTAACGCGATATATCTCGGTTCCTTTGCAGCGGCCGTTACGTAACGACATCGTCGTATCGTTTGACCGTTTTACAAATCGGTTTTGATTAAGAGCCGTTCGGCGACAAGCCGGCAATTACCGTTTAGGTGGCATCGATAAATCAGGTGGACAAGGTGCAATTCCGCGATATTTTGACACCTATCTTGAAGCACTAGCTGCTCTCCTATACCCTCTGCATACCACCTTCCTCCTCTTCGCATGATTTACCACTCCAAATTGTCTCGCCATTAATTACCTAATTACATCGCATTTTATGCATTGTTGAGCGTGGAATTTATTACCCATTTATTGTACGTTGATTTACCTATGATTGAAAGATTTAAACGCGTTGAAGTTTAGGTGCAAAGGTTAAAATAATTTTATGATAAATTGATAGTTTTCACGAGAGGTTTCTGGTTTTAAAATGTATAAAACTGTATACAATATTTCAACGGATATATAAAATATGTTAAAAAAATACATTGTATTATTGACGATGAAAAAAATAATCAAAATAGTTATATTATTATATTCTGAAAAAAAAGTAATATTTTTGAGCAAGGATCTTTGGCATTGGAAACAGTGCGTTCTTTAAAGAGCTTTACGAAAATATCAAAAAATAGCAAATTATTACTGAATTCAAAATCTGCTAAAAAAATAATCGAAAAACGCTAAGAAATAATCCGATAAGCCGCGATATTGGATTCGTTCCGAGCGGATTTTCTCACTTCAAAAGAAAGTATTTCACGTTGAACAGTGAAGCATAATTTCGAATTTGGAATCACCGTAATTATCTATAATTACTTCATATGTGCTTCGATGCAGTCGATCAGCGTAACACAAAGAGTTTAGTGTGTTTATATAATATATATATATGCATGCTTAAAGGTTTTTTTTTCTTATTCATCTCCTCTTTAATTACTTATACTTGTTTCGTATAAGCTTCAAATGTCACGTCCGCAATGTTAATTATTCTATCTAACATACCCATAAATGGAACCTGGGATTATCTTTCCGCGTGTTTAACTAAAGCGAGAATAAATTCGGTGTCAGGTTTTGATGTGCTTGAAGACTGACGCAAATATGCTAATTGAAATTGAATAAATATAAATGATATGTATCGTGTATCCAAGTTAATGTTTATTTATGGTTTTTGGTGATTGGATTGTTTGTTCTAAGTATTGTGTTTGTTTGTTTAGGAGACTGATGGTAGGCATGCAGCTGTGGGCGCGCTGCTCACTCCTATGGACACCATCTTCGTGAAGGAGGTAGCAGAGCGTGGTCCGGCGAAGCAAGCAGGCTTGCATCGAGGAGATCGCATCCTGTACGTGAACGGGGAGTCCGTTAGTAACCTGACTTACTCTGAGCTAGTGCACAAGATCCAAACCAGCCCCACATACTTGCACCTTCTAGTTGTTCCTAAGGAAGAAGACATTCTGCAAAAGGTACGTTTTGTTTTAATGATAATCGATTGGTTAATCATTACTTTTGGTTTTTGCAGTATTTTGCGGATACAGCTCATAATCCGCTAAGCAATAAGTTAAAGGAGGATCGGCGCAGGACTATTCAGCAGCCTCAGGGTGGATTCCAGGTGGACGCTGTGTCTTGGAGGTCCTTGCAGAACCCAAGTTACAGTTCTATTGACTACGGGCGATACGTGCCTCAAAGACAGTTGGTGGTGGACAACAGTACGGACAGTATCTACTCGTACGGAGTGCCGGAGAGGAGTTCGGAGAACATTTACAGCACACCGAGGGACACGTTCCGGCCGAACGATAGGAAATCACTAGAAATCTACGCGGAACCCGTAATAAATGATTCAACGCAGAGGCCTCGGGCTCAACCCCAGGTGCCCTTGTACAGGAAGATGGGTCGAAGAGCAAGCGAGGGAAGCAGCACAGCCGTCTCAGAAACCGAGTACTCATTGAGTTGCGAGGACATCGACACCACTATGAAGAGTTCCAAGGCCCCGTACACCTCAACGGACACCTTCAACAGCCTAGAGATGCCTGCATTGATGTATTCCAATGTGGTTGGCTGTCGGCTGAGCTTGGACGCCGGTAATAGGAGGGAGTCCACGTCGTCGTTGCACTCCTATGAATCTAGCTCGACGCTAGCCGGTCAAGACACCGACACCGATTCCATCGTGATGAGTAGGCTGAGGAAGAGTGTGCAGGAGAAGGAGGAGTTCATGAGGCGGAGCAGTAGACCCAGCGAACTCATACAGAGGGAGTTCTACAGCAGGCCTAAGAAACTGGAGAAGCCGGTATGGCCTCCTATAGATCCGCAGGAGTCGCCGTCACGGCTCAACAAACCCACCCATCACAACTTTCAGCGCGTCAAGAACGACATCGATAACGAACGCGAAATCATACACAACCTCGACAATAAGAGATCCAACACGGCCGAATTCTTGGGCAAGATACAAGAGAACGAGAATGGACAGACGAACGGAACTAATGCATCTGACACCGAAGATAGAAGGTATCATATTTCTTTTCATAAATCGTATAAATTTAAATATTAATTTACGTTTTTTTGTTTTAGAAATTACCCACCTAATATTCAAATGGTGTCTAAGCGAGCACGGCAATTCGAGAGTGGCAGATTGATGACGGAGGATGACCCAATAATGAACGATCGCACCAGCTTCTACAGAAGCGAATTGGCAAGGTTGAGTGCCAAAAAGGCCGTGCCGAATGTGGCGGTCAGAACGCGCGAATTCGAGACGATGTCCAGCGAGAATTTCCCGAGGAGGGACACCAGTTCGAGCTCAACGAATTCCGCGTCTGTCCTCCGCAGAAGTTACCGAGACAGCAGATCACTGGATAGTTCAGGTAGGTCCTACATAAATCCATTCATCATTTGCAACCAACAGTTCGTTTACACCTTCTTTATTCTTTTCTTGATGTTCTTCTTCTCTTTTTTGTTCATTTTTCTTTCTTTGATTTCATGGAAATAGGAAGCAACTGTAGCTTAAGTAGTAGCGCCGCTGAAATATCGAAACCGTTTCCGGGGAATTTCAGTATTCCCATTGGAAGCAAATTTATCCATTGCCCGCTACCGTCGGACTATAAGCCGACCCAAGGTCAGAATTTGAGTAGATGTCGCGTTGAAATTTCGTTAATTTTTACCACACTAATTGCCCACTCCCTCAGAAAAATCTATTTTTTGGAGGAGTTAGATTTGATGTTTTTAGCCTACTAATTTCATAATTTATCCCGGTTCTCTCTTAGACGTTGCTCTATGTATTTTTTTGAATGTTGTACCTGTAATGTGTATCTTCTTGTTAATTTAAATTCTGTACCAATCAGAAGAGAGTAGTGATTTTTTTTATTTATATATACTGTATTTACTTACTATTGATGTCGTTCGTAGTTGTAGCTTTGATGTTGTTATTCGTTATTTTAGATCTTCCAAGCAATGCGAATCAGTCGAATAGAATGCGGCAGCGTTCTAATTCCACTGGTTCCTGTGTTGCCCACATGCATACCGAAACTTCTGCGGACACTAACAATTCTTACTCCTCTGATAGCGCCACAACTACAGGTCAGTTTATACAGACTAACGACAACTATGTGTGCATCTTTAATGAAATTTATATCTATTATTATTCTTGTCTGCGGTCACTTCCAGTTTCTGAATGTGCATTGTTTTAAAGGTCGCGCCGAATCTCTGGATACGAAACAATCCCCCTTCTTAGCCGAACCATACTTTAACCTCATCCCCGAGTCCGTGGAGCAGCTTCACCGCACGCCCTGCGTGTCCGTGACTCCTCCCTCGCCCATACCCCAGCCCAAATCCCTGCAAACCTCAGCCGTGCGCCCCAATCAGCTGGATTTGGGGGCTCCAAAGCGGCCGTTGCGACACCTTCGAGCGCCGCAAACCGTCGCCGCAGACACACCACCACCTGTCCAATCAGGTAGTTACAGTTACAGAACGCTGGTTTTTGCTCAACTAACACGCCCCCGCCCCCAAAACTAACTCCGCCCACAAAAGCCTAGTGAACACGGCTGTCGGAACTTCAAAGAAAACCAAATTGCATTGAACATTGCAGTTCCGACAATAATAATAATATAAACCTAATACAATTTAAAAATCTAAAAACAACCATTAGGTACCAACAGAATTACTAGAAAAGCCTAGCGAGTTCACTAAAACATCCTTTTAGATGTGACAAGAAAGATGACGCGGAATAATACATTTATATTAATATGTGTTGAATCAGATTTGATCATTGCTTTGCCTTGGCTTTTAAATGTTAAAGCAATAAACCTATTTCGTACATCGATAACATTAAAGATGAAAAATAAAACAAGATAATCAAATATTAATAGAACTGAAATCAATTATTTAGTGAAACTGATTTGCAATCAGATCAGATTAGTTACTTGCATGTCTCTATTACATACAATAGTTTAGGTATTTCGAATGAACGAGATAGAAGAAACAAGTAGCAAGAAGTATCGAATTCAAAACGAAGTAGTAGATCTATCAATATTTCATATACTTAGACTTGGGTGTAGTTGAGTAGAAATTAGCTTTTGTCGCTGCAACTGATTCCGATAGAATTCGTTGCGCCTTTATAATAATCTAATATCATTAACTTGATTTGACTGCGTTTATCGTGTGATTGATTGGAATTTTTTCTTGAATGTTACATTTTTTTTTGATGGATTTGCATTAATCGTGTTCTTTTTTGTTTTTGTTTTATTAATCATTTCAGTTTGCAATGATAAACCTTTGGTGGTGCGGCGGATTAAAAATACTAACATCAGTAAGTATACGTTTATTTTTTTTTTATAAATTATCGACGTTTGTTGCGACATCGAAACCAGATAATCAGACTCGATTAGTTAATTCAATAAGGCGTTTAATTACAATACAGCACATAATTCGAAAACGACATTTAATTATTGTTTAATTTTATTGACTATTAATTTGATTGCCGCTTCAGGCGATTTTTCTTAATTGATCTCCTCTTACTGAATTTTAAGTGCCTTATTAGCATTTTTTTTAACTCTTGTAGGTTTTAATTTATTGCAAAATGTTAGTAAACGGGTTTTACAAGTTTAGAAAAAATTTGACTCATTCGCAAAAAAAAGTGTCCACTAATTCCAAAATATGGAAAATTTATTATAAAGACAAAAGTTGTTTTAGATAATGTTTATTATTTATGATATTTAATGAGTCATTTATTTTTTTTTTCTTAAATGAGTCAATTCATTTGAACGTAGATGAGACGTTACATTTGCGACCATTCTAAATAGGCGATAGTTAATTGCAGCAATGCTCCAGATCTTTCGAACAATTCGTTGCATGAAACGGCGAAATAAACAGCTGATTCCGAAATGTAAAGCGATACTTACTATTCGCCATTTAATTTATGGTTAATGCTAAGTCTGGAAAGGTCGTGGACCCCGCGTTCGATTCGAACAATGCTCCAGTTCTTTTAAATGACCCATAGTAATAATAATAACATGAAATGAGTCATGCGATGTTTAGAAGTTTATTGTATTTTTTTTTCGGCGATTCCTAAACATAAACAGTAGGATTTGCAAAGCGACCTGCGTGATTCATTCATCGGGAATGTCCGTAATGTAAATTGCGCAACGCGAAGAAACAAGAAGTTGCGACGGTTTTTAATTCGACTCGTCTGCAAATGTTGTTGATTCTTTTGTTTGTTTTTGTTTATTTGTGTACCGGCTACGATATGCAAATGGGGAATTTCACTTCGCTTGTTTGCAGCGCGCAACAATGATAATTTCATTTCCATATATACAAATTGATTGATCGTTGTTTGATATCTGCGCCATTAAGCTTAAGGAGGAGAAGAAAGAAACAAACAAACAAAAAAAAACGCAATGAATTTCTCTCGGTCGCCAGCTTTCTAATTAATTTGCTTCTCAAATTTACAGTTGCGCAATGGAAACAACGACAATCAATAAGCTGGCATCATTAATTAAGTACATTTTTGTATCGAATCGGTAGATAATCCGGGGAGACAGTCGCCGTTGCTTATCCGCTGCAAATATCTAATTCAATTTGCAAAAGCATTAATAATCCATTCATCTCTCTTTCACTCGTACAACTGCTACAACTCATTTTTATCTTTCCTTCATTTATTTCCTTCTGTATTCTAATCTCCTTCTCGGACTGGTTTTAGACGATTTCTTTCGCTCTCGACCATTTGATTGATTACACAGTGGCGCGTGATTTTTTCCTAGCCTCATTAATTAGCATAACGTGAAGTAGATCGCCGAGATTATTATGTTCTCTAATTATAATCCATTATGCATCTTTCTAGTAGAGCACGTTTTTACTTCTAATCTCGTTATCCTTCTTCGAGCGCACCGCATCTGCGATGATAATTCAGCAGAATCAGAGCGCGAAATTTTCTATTTTTTTTACGCAATCGTGCATTTCCTACTTGCATTATCTTCTCGATAATCATCTCTAAATTAATTTATTACGTTTTTCAAAATTGTTTTTATTTTGATGGATTTTGGATAATGGTTAAATAATACCAGAAGGATTATTGATGTGATTAGCCGGGGGATTATCATTAAAGAGCCGTATTGTTTTTGGCTTTGCAACCCTTTTTTTTTGCTGGACGTGATGTAACAAAGGGAATTAATATTAAAGGCCATTAGAAAGGTTTATTACAAAATATTCATATAGGTATGTCTTTATGTCTAACTTCTAAACAATTTTGTTTTGTTGTTGAGACATTATTATGTAGTTTTAATAATATACAAAATTTATAAACAAAAACATAGATATTTAATGGTGTATTTATTTTGTGAACATTAAATATATTTAACTAAAATTAAATTAATAATTTTCTGAAAAAAATAAATTAAATTTATAACTACAAATTATTTAGTATAAATACTTGAGATTTTATATCGATGACTTTTAAAATTAAGTACCATTATTTGAAAGAATTTAAGTGCCAAAAAGAAGCCTCTTAGATTCTTTTGGAATAAGAAAGATTTTCAACTAACGAAGTAATATTAAGAAAGGAGTATTCTCTTGAGTCTGAAGATTTAGGTTTCTGGACCAAAACCATTACCACTAACATTACTATTACTTGGTTACTATTAATTATCATTATATATAAGATTTCAAAGAAGTTAAGGTAGCTAAGAAATGTTTAGTTTTTAAATTTTAAAACTTAATTAAACTTAACCGAAATTATATTTTATGATTCCTTATCTAGTTGAGAAATTGAAATGTTAATAATAAATATGAACTTAAGTAATAATTTAAAAAAAGAAATGTAGAAACTTTTAAGACGTTTGTATAAAAGCGTCTGTTTGTGCAATGCTGTAATTGAATATTTATTGAATCCGTGGTAATTAATATGTTAGGAAACATGTGTAGAGGAAGTCGAAAATCTGGTTTCGCAAAAACGGCCGATGCCGTTTCGCAATCATCGGAAACACGGCAAACTAACAGCAATAATAAATTTTGGAATTTGTGTTGGGTTTTTTGCAGCCGACGAGGATCGCGTTACGCGGCGCGAATCCTACCTGCGTGCAACGGAGGGTGGAAGAATTATGTCTTTGGAAAGCAGAGATTTCAGCGACGGAGACGTTTCGCCTCAGGTGCTACGAAGGTAAGAAACACAATGGAAACTAATCACACCTCACTTCCCATTACACCTTTCCTATTCCTCGATTTGTTTTTATTCTGTACTATATCTTCTATATATTTTATTTCTTTCTCTCTCCACATATGTACATTATCGCCGTTTTATATAATATTCGTACATAGTTCAAGGATCATCCCCTAATTCTCTGGTGCTTATATGTTATATATTTTTTTGAAAATTTGGTATGTTTAGCGCCCACAGACGTTGGCGTCCACCCTTATTTCTTGGTGACATTCAGCAACTTCGTAAGCTCTTTGAAGAGCCCAGCACCTCTCCTTCGGGGTGAGACAAAAAAACCATTATCAACAAGCACATCTAATTATTTATACATACATTTAAACATAAAACATGTTTGTTTTAATTTTTTTGTCTTTCTTTGTGTATGTACTTCTAATCGTTTGCTGACTGTTCATCATTAACACGCATTTTTACTAATTCGCATCTTTATGTAATTAAATCACCAGAAGCAAATAATCATGTATGTGAGCATGTTACGTCAATCGATTCGGTTACGTGCAACCCCACGCGGCAACCACCCCCCGTGCATCATAGATTCTTATCAGTCGTAAACTTGCTACTTAAGTAGGGAGGACTTTGCGAAAACTTTAGTTCTGTGCATATGTCAACACCGAGATGTTGCTCACATTTGTGTTACGATATCGGTTAGTATTAAACTAGTTATAAAATATGGAAATTGAAAGTGATTTACTATCGTTTATATAAGTGCGTTTTCTTCAGTCTTTATACTTTTCTTTTTGCAACTTTACGATCCATAAACCATTTACTGCGGCATAATTTTCCAATCAATATGCGGCGTTTAATGTTGCACAAAACCTTTTCATTAAACAATCCACGCACATCTATTTTTATGGTTTTTTTTTTCAAATCAATAGAAATTGGATTTCCAAGTAAAAATTTGATGTTTGTTTCTGTAATGTAAATCGGTGCATTTTCGGGTTGCGTCATTCAATTCTT